TGAGACAATTATAGGGGGACGGAGGTAGTAGATAGTAATACGAATTTTGAAAGATAAAAACATGACAATTTTTTGCACATGTCCCCCATTTTTTGGTATGGCTCTTGGATATTATTCCGTTCCCAAATAATATATGGAGTATTATAATACTCTTATATTATAGCATATACATAGTAATATGACTAGTTTTTTTGTATGGTTTGTGTCGGTTTAGTCTAATAAGATTCTGAGATAGTAGTCACTTAAGAACCAGTTCAGTACCATATTATTAGAAAATTTTGGTACGGTCTATTAAGGTATTATATTTTTCCTGTTCAGGTTCAATTGGGAACAATTCTTTGTTACAATTCAAGTAGTAATTCCCAGAACCGCCCTCAGCCATAATAGAAGGTTATACTCTGAGTAGTATATAACACATGATTACTTTTAAACCCGAATAAATACATGATTAAAATGTTGAATACTACCGAAGCAACGAAAAGATCTTCACACTTTTCTTTTCCATCCGTAACAAAAAGAGCTTTCCATTTCTAAATATTTTTATCATGTCCTCAATAATTTTGAAAACAATCCACTATTCCACTATGCATTATACTATCACACTATATTCCACTTTTAGTATGCATGTTTTGGTTTATGTTATACTCCCTCCGTCCCATAAAATAGTTCACGCATTAACTTGGATCAGAGTTTAAGAAAGTGGGAATAAAGTTGAAATGTATGGTTGTGGTTGAGTAAGAAAACGGTAAACGAATGTGAGCCACACAAAACATTCCTACAAGGGAAATGGGAACTACTACCTCCGTCCCCCTAAGTTTGAGACAAGAGAATGTGGCACGGTTATTAATAAAAGTGGGTTTATGTGGTTGTTATTGAATTGATAAAGTAAGAATAAAGTAGGAATGATTTAGAACCACACAAATTTTACCAAATACGGTATGGGACAATCTTAGTGGGACGGACCGAAATGGTAAAATTGGACAATCATAGCAGGACGGAGGGAGTATTTTTTGGGACGGCCCAAAAAGGAAACCCGTAACTATTTTGTGAACGGAGGGAGTATATATGTTTGAAACAGAGACTTTTTCATCGAAAAAACTATATGCTTAGCGAAGGTAAAGGTGTTGATGTTGATAGTGAGGGTAAAGGTGGTGGTGATGATAATGATGATGATGATGCTGCTGATGATGATGATGATGATGATGGCGATGTTGATGATGATAATGGTGATGGAGGTGGTGGTATGAATGTTATGAAGTTGATGGTGATGATGATGATGATGATGGGATGATGGTGGTGATAGTGGTTACGATAATGGCGATGATGTTGATGGTGATGATCATGGTGGTGATGGTGATGATGTTGATAGTGAAGGAAAAGGTGGTGGTGATGATGATCATGGTGATGGTGGTGGTGGTGGTGATGATGTTTATGATGATGGTGATGATGGTGATGGTGATGTTGATGGTGGGGGTGGTATGACTATGATGATGATGGGATGGTGGTGATAATGGTTATGATAATGACGATGATGTTGATGATTGTTGTGGTCATGGTGATGATGTTGATAGTGAAAGGTAAAGGTGGTGGTGGTGATGGCGATGATGTTGATGATGATTTTGATGATGTTGATGGTGATGGTAATGGTGGTGGTGATGATATTGGTGATGATGGGAAGATGGTGGTGGTGATAATTGGTATGATAATGACGGTGATGTTGATGGATGTTGATGGATGTTGATGGTGATGGTAATGATGTTGATACTGAAGGTAAAAGTGGTGGTGGTGATGGTGATAATGATGATGATGGTGGTGATAATGATGGCGATGTTGATGATGATGATGGTAATGGAGTTGGTGGTATGAATGTTATGATGTTGATGGTGATGATGATGGGATGATGGTTGTGATAATGGTGATGATGTTGATGGTGATGATCGTGGTGGTGGTGATGGTGATGGTGATGGTGATGATGTTGATAGTGAAGGAAAAGGTGGTGGTGGTCATGGTGATAATGGTGGTGGTGGTGATGATGATGATGATGACGATGATGTTGATGACGATGGTAATTAGGGGTGTGATTTTGGAACCGGGAACCGTAGAACCGATTGGAACCGAACCGTTAACAACATCTAGGAACCGAACCGTTAACAATTAATGCCTCATTTGTAGGAACCGAACCGAACCGAAGCGGGTTATAACGGTTCGTTTCCCGGTTCCTATAAAAAATATGTGCATGGAACCGTTAAGGAACCATTATTAAAAAAATAAAAAATAAAATAATATTAGTAGTAGTAGTAGTAATAGTAGTAGTAGTAACAATAATAATAATAATATAATAGCAATAATAACCACCACCACAACCACTATAATAAAACAATATAAGATATTTAACTAACAATTCTAATTTAATCAACGGAAAAGAAGTAATAAATATTGTACATGAGGTTGATATAATACATTAAACTCCTTTCTACAAATCAAGTTTTGTTCCATCACATAAATTTTATAAATATAAAATAACTCAAATAACTTGTAGTTGATTGCACATATTTTACTTTACTATTTTCATGATGTTTCTAATTATTAGATTTATTATGAATCAATAGAATGTAATAATGTTTTTTTATATCTATACATGCAAACTTAATGTCTTTTTTTTTATGTTTTGAAAGACTTGAAGTAGGCGTCATATTCTTGCTACTATGATGATGAGTAACCTTCATCGCTCCGACACTACAACGATTTTTAATGTTTCATTTATTACATGAAAATTTAAATCACTTTTGTTCTATTAAGTGTTCAAAGTTCATCAGTTAAGTTTGAGCTTTGATGTTTGAAGTGATTAGAGCTTCAAATAAAATTTTAATACTCGTGTTTTGAATTTTCGACGTGTTTATGTTGTTTGTAGAAAGTAAATTACTACCTCCGTCCCATTTATATTGTCCCGGAAGAGGGTGGCACGGTTCTTAAGAAAAGTGAATTTGTGTGGTTGATATTAATTGATAAAGTAAGAATAATGTAAGAATGATTTAGAGTCGCACAAACTTTACCAAATATGGTATGAGACAATTTAAGTAGGACTTCCCGAAAAGGTAAAACGGGACAATATAAATGGGACGGAGGGAGTATGTGTTAATTCTTAGACGAGAAAAAATTATTCTAGGAACCGATAAAAGGAAGAACCGAATCGTTTACTACCGGTTCGGTTCCATAACAGTTCTTGATTTTTTATATAGGAACCGAACCGATTTCATTAGTTAAAACTTTTATAATGGTTCCACTCATTTTGAGTAAGAATCGAACCGGTCCCAGCCCTAATGGTAATGATGTTGATGGTGATGGTAATGGTGGGGGTGGTATGAATGTGATGATGATGATGATGATGGGATGGTGGTGGTGATAATGGTTATGATAATGGCGATGATGTTGATGGTAATGATCATGGTGGTGATGGTGATGATGTTGATAGTGAAGGTAAATGTGGTGGTGGTGATGATGGCGATGTTGTTGATGATGATGGTAATGGAGGTGGTGGTATGAATGCTATGATGTTGATGGTGATGATGATGGGATGATGGTGGTGATAATGGTTATGATAATGGTGATGATGTTGATGATGATGATCGTGGTGATGATGTTGATAGTGAAGGAAAAGGTGGTGGTGGTCATGGTGATAATGGTGATGGTGGTGGTGATGATGACGACGATGGTGTTGATGATGATGTTGATGGTGATGGTAATGGTGGGGGTGGTATGAATGTGATGATGATGATGGGATGATGGTGGTAATAATGGTTATGATAATGGCGATGATGTTGATGGTGATGATCATGGTGGTGATGGTGATGATGTTGGTAGTGAAGGTAAAGGTGGTGTGGTGATAATGGTGATGGTGGTGGTGATGATGATGGCGATGATGTTGATGGCGATGTTGATGATGATGATGGTGATGGTAATGGAGGTGGTGGTACGAATGTTATGATGTTGGTTATGATGATGATGGTGATAATGCTTATGATAATGGCAATGATGTTGATGGTGATGATTGTGGTAGTGATGGTGATGTTGATAATGGTGATGATGGTGGTGATGCTGATGGCGATGTTGATGATGATGAAGATGATGACAATGATGGTGATGGTGGTGATGATGGTGGTGATGAAGGTGAAGTTGGTGGTGATGATGATGATGGTGAAGGTGGTGGTGATGATGGTGTTAGTGATGATGATGGTGATGATGTTGCTGATGGTGGTGATGAAGGCGATGATGTTAATGATGATGGTAATATGGTATGTATTATGTAAGCACCTCCCTAGAACATTTGAAAATCCGTTAATCAACGAAAGGAGTACAAATAATTGTCATAACACTCCCTAAAAAACACGTAGTATTCTGAAGACAAATGATTCTCACCTATAAAATAATCTGGAACAGGCGAGAATAAAAAACTGAGAACAAAGATTAACCACCAAAATAGTATTGAACATTATTCCATTTAATTGCATAACCCGATTATGGATAACGATTATCAATGAACGTGATTTTAAACATTTTTGTTAATTGCCGCTTATGGATAAATGAATAATGGTCACGTGGCAGTACAACTTCTCATATCAATACAGGTGCCCGTAGATTCTCCACAAGTGGAAAATTGAAATATACATAATTTTGATCGATATTACCTTGTTTTAGTAATTTGCAATCTTTACTTTTTTTAAAAGGTGTCCAATCGTTACTTTGAGCAGGAACAATTATTGGATTGGTTTTCCTTTATATATTAGTATAAATTTTATTTATTAGATTATACATTGATGTCGTATAAAAATAATTAAAACATGCATTTTGTTTGATACAAAATATAGATGTCAAATATTGTCTCACTTTTACATGCTCAACATAAACATAAACACATATATGCACACAAATTCGTAGTGAAGCTATTTCTCCCTTGCCCTTCGTTTTCTCTAAAACCCAGGCATGCCACATTAAACCCGAGTCTAATATTAGTAATTATTGTAATTTTTATTGTTCTATTTCTCTTTAATCACTCCTATGCCTTTGCTCGAATAAGCATCAACTACTCAAAGAACAAACCAAAGTGTCGAATTAAAACAAGAACATAACGCTCTCGAAAATATAGCAGTCAAAAATGTGGAAAAGCAGGATTTCCGCTTCATGTTTTAAAGTAAGCACCCTATAACCAGAAAGAATATGTAAATGAAAAAACTGGGGGGTTGGGGTTTGCCAGCTACCCTTCCATCAAGCTCTTTCTCCAATGCCGTGAGTAAAAATGTGTTTTGAAGGTCGCCCCCTTCATGTTTCCGTTATTAATTCATTGGTCTGATCAGCAGCACAGACCTTATAGACAAATAAAAGATATAGAATTAGTTAAGATTACAAGCATGTCTGTATGTGTGTATTAAGAACAGAAGAAGCATTGTCATGCATGCTATCACACAGAGAAAGCGAAAGAGGAGAGCTTACTTGTGAAGTATGTTGTTTTTGTAGGAAAATTTCTACAGGCTGCCATTGTCATGCTTAATGTCTACTTCATGTCTTACCCGATGACGACGATAATAGAAGTACTGAATTAGTATCTGAGGAATCTATCAAGGATTTCCATGTTTTACTAGTCTCTTTGGTTTGCACAGATGGACAAACAGGTACATGATAGACATCCAGCTGTCATGCAGTCATGCTGGATGTTGTGCAAATTTGGTTTCTCTGCATGGCTTTTGGCTCACCTTAGGGTCTGTTTGGATGGACTGTTTTCCGAGGAAAGATTTGGAGGGCTTGGTGTCTATGTATATGTGTGCGTGTGATTTTATATACATATAACATGATCATATGTGATCGTATAAGATAGCAATCATATTTTATTTCATTTTTTAAAGTATTAAATTTATCGATAGAAATACAAACTTTTCCAAATCCTTTCATCAAAACAGACCCTAAAATGCCCCAAGGTCAATGGCTCTCAGATCAACAGAGCCTCACTCATGGTAGAATGAGTGGCTTTGAGCCATGAATTGGAGATGACCTGAAAGCCGAAGTGAAAGGGATTTCATACACAAGGATACAAAGGTATCAAGGAGTACACAGCCACTTGCATCAACCAGCCATGGCATGTTTGGTCCAATTTTTGACCAATCCAAGCTGCTGACAAGAATGCTACACATACAAAACAGTGAAAAAACTATACTACGTATTACAAATGTTAATAAATTACTTAGTACTGAATTAAAATTTTGAAGCATGAAATCAGAAATAAACATGGGGAGCACAGCTCACCTAGCGACATATGTGATGTTACCGAACAGTGCAAACATAAACATTAGTGGATTTAGCCCCTACAAGTTACCATGCAAAGGTTATCTAAGATTGTTTGTATATACACCATTGCCAATACTTCACACATTAAACAGATTTACGCGAAAGCTAGTATCTCAATTTTGTATATATGAACATTGGAGCTTTGCTTACGTCAACATTTCCCCTCCTGAACTGCAAAAATGAGAAAGAAACATAAAAGACAATAAGAAAAAGTTAGTCCCACTATTTGTCATAGTATTCCAATAACCAACAACTCAAGCTATAAGAAGAACATAATTATTATGCAATAATATATGCAAAGTGTGAAAAAGCATATGCTATAAGAAGCAATGTCAGTGCTGTAGGTATCTCACATTTAATCGAATTTGCGGGACACGCCCACCAATGTAAATGAATGCCATTGCCCACCCAAGAACTGCTGCAACCCCATTATTATGGATGGACTGGCTATTAAGCGAAAATTCACCATTCTCCTGCAATTCCAGTCAGCCCAAAAGCCTGTAAGTCTATCCATAAATGAGTATAGGTTTCAACTCTAGAGCTGTAGAAGTTCATGCACGTGAATGGTACAAAAACAGAAAGGAATTAATTGATAATACTCAAGGCAGAATATGCTTTCTGTTTCCCAATCTCATCTTAAGTATTTATCTAGCATGTTGTATATCTGGTAAGTACTGGGAAATCGAATACTGAGAAATAATTTAGTTCACACAGTTAGTCCTCAGTTTTTTTTGTTTTACCTGTAGGAGCTTTCTACCGAACAGCAGGACCCTTCCAGCTTGTTGGTGAAAAACCATTGCACTATTGCTGTTCTTTGTTTTGTGGTGATTCCATCCACCAACAATGAAGGTGAATAAGGAAGCCTGAAAAATAGAGAGTAGGTGTATGAGAAGAATGAGAAGTTGGTTGATAATTTTAAATCAGTTTATTATTTCTAATAAAGCTCTCACCGCACAAAGCATGCCTTTTGTTTTGGGAGCAGGTGAAGATTGAGCTGGAACCGCTTCACCGAGCAATGGCGCAGTAACAGGATCGTGCTCATCATCTGTAACAAGTGTTCTGTGTGGTGGAAAAGGCCCAACTGGAGGAGTGTGGCTCAGCGATAGAGATCTGGCAGACCTGATGATCAACAAAATAGAGTGTCTAAAGTTTTTTACAGCACAGTCAAATGCAATCGTATTTTTAGAAAGATGATTGGTTAAGGTTTTACAAGAACCAGACAACAATCAACTATAACTTACTTACTATGTCATTTCTATTTGCAACTAGATTATGTTTAGTAACTATTACTTCCCCAGATAGAACAATTTTATAAGCATTGCAAGGTTATAACATACACATTGCGTGAAGTTCAATATTTCTATCATCAAACTTCTATGATACTACTATACTAGTCATTATTGAGATAATATTTATATATATTATTACTTCTATGATACTTAACGCACAGGTTAAGGTGTTGTTGTGTGACCGAGATGTCACATGTTCATGTCTTGGGAGGTGCTTCTTCTCAAAATTTGACAGGGGAAGGCTTTCCCTTTACACAACCCCTTGTGGTGGGATCTTTCCCTGGACCCTCGCCTTGCGGGGATGCCTTCATGCACGGGGCTGCCCTTTTTTATTATTATATTACTATTAGATATACAATATCACTATTACTATGTCATTCACGTAGGTTGGCATGGACCATGCAACCACAAGCATATTCTCTATCCTACATGTATGCTAATTATACTTCTTTTAATATACATACATGTGTGTGTCTCAATAAGAAGTGTGTGCAGTATTGTATTCTCCTATCAAATGCTCTTTTAAAATATTTGATATCAATTTTATCATTGCTCTCTTTAAACATTCAAAATTAGTTTCAAAATCCATGATTGTGTGCTCAAAATGTACAAGCACCAATCAAATATTAATGTGAATCAAGTTTCTCCCCAGAATGTGGAGCTGCGCACATTACCTTTTTAGTGAAGTTAATGGACTGTATTAAAAGGTTTATAGGGATGAGTTTCTGTGCATAGGTCTTGAAGGCCATTAATAGAATCAATAAAGGGTAAAAAAAGTGAATAGAGCTCTAGCATAGACGGGGTTTCTACAATTCTACTATTATATCTAAAAAATGAGCTTCACAAGTGAGGCTTGTCCGGGCAGAGAAGTGATTGCTAATCCATGTGGAAAGGCTTGTTATTATGAGAGTATAGTACTCTCAAGGGGTATCATGCATTTCAAGTTAGTGTAGAGTCCAGTAATAATATATGCTCTTCTGTTCGCTGAGTTCCCTATCGATGCGCCTGGCCTTAAAGACTACCCAGGTTCTTGTCTCCTCACTATTGGTAATTGGTAAGCTGCTTTCTAAGCCAAGAAAATGGGAAATGCGGGAAATGTCTTTCTTTAGTGAAAAACAGTTGCAAATTAGGTTTCCTAAAATTTTACGAGATGCTGAAACGCCAAGCCTGGCCTTAAGAGTTTCCGGGAACCTTAGGACTCCACATCCTTGGGAACGTAACATGGCTCTAGCAGATTACACTCAATTGTGAAAAATAAGGTAAATACTTAAGTTAGTCCATATATTGCAGTTGTGATTCTCTAATTGTTCCCATGCTTGAGCATACTTGCACAAATATATAGCAAACCTACAAAAAACAAAAACAAAAATCCGGAACATAGAAGATGAAAGGAGATCATTACATACATGTAATATAAATCTCTTTCCAAGGATGCACTGTTAGCACCACTTGGCAGGGGAATTGGTGAGCTATGAAGTGGGCCAGATGCAGGAATGTATTTCCCACCGTTAAGTCCATTGGCATGGTTACTTGTACCGTTCTCCATGGTATAGTTATCCTCCAATCCCTTTTCAAATGCCCCACTCTCCAAAACCTTGAGATGCACAAGGTATCAGAACCAGTACAACAATTGTCCTCAAAAAGAAGTCTTTTTATAAGTAAAGAAAGTTTATATAAAAGTGAAAATAATCTCTCAGTTCAACTAGTTACACTTACACCTCCCTCATACATCTTTTTGATGATTATCTAAAATTGTAGTCACAGCAAAGAAAAAACAATGAGGTAGGGTCTATCATACTGCAACCCCATCTCGAGAATCAAGACAGAACTAAGTCCAAACAAATTCGCCCACACACTTTAAAGGGTCTCTGAGTAAATTATGAATTCAATACTACCACTCTGAATAGAAGTACAGAAAATCTGAATAACAAAAAAATGCATTTATCAATGAACAGTAAATATGGAATTGAATTGAGTTGAATGAAGAGAAATTTGCAACCTTATGAGACCTTCTATTGGACTTCAGTTGTGGATAGATATGAGCATAGTATAATGCTTGCCCAGCAAGAAAGAAAGTAGTCAATGCAAAAAACTGCAGAAAAATTTATCATGTAGCTGATAGAATGAAGAGAGATAAATCAAAAAATTAATGGGAACACTGTTAGAGAGATGGGATACTAGAAGAAACTTTACCATTGCCATGTAGAGTTGAGTGGGAAGCTGTAAAAAAGGCATCAGTTAGCAAATTTCATCTTACAAGAGTGAACTAAAGTACTAACTCAATTGGAAGTTTGTATTCACCTAAGAGGGAATAGTGGCACTGTGGCATACAAACTCAATCACTCATTAAGACAACAAATCACTAAAGGTATGGCCAATTCCTACACTTTCCTTTTTCTCTAACATTCATGAATCACATTCTTCAAAGTATTTCAAACGCAGTGTCATGGAAATGAATATTGAATTATCTCAGTCTCAAAGTCAAGCCACTGCTGTGTAGACGTGTAGTGTTACAGATTAGAACTGTTATATGCAACCACTTTCACTCGAGCCCTATGTGGCCTTCTTAACTTACCTTTGTGCACAGGAAAGACACTTGGGCCATCCGTTAATAAAAAACTATATGTAATATTTATAGTCTTGGAAAAGAATGAAGAAGCGGTAGTTCATTGAGGGTGTTTTATGGTATGTAGTAGCACTTCTGGATATGCATGCAACCATGACCTAACACTATAAATGGGTTCATGTGGTTTACTCATTAAAAAGGTTATTTCTTTATGATTTCTTGAAATTGTGTGCCTATATTATACTACATAGTGTCACAGACTAATGAACCTTGCACATTAAAGTAACATTTTCCTACCTAAATCTCAAAATAGTTCATTAGGAATAAATTTCACAAGATGTAAGTGGTGGAAATTATCTAAAACACCTCAAGTCTTTAACATAATTGAAGACCATTATATGTGGTGACTGATAGAATATTAACTATATCCAGTGGGAAGTGAAATTATTAACAAACACTTCATGCATATTTTAAAAGTTGAACCACACATTTGGATACAATCAAGCACCAAGCGTAATAAAAATGAAATTTTATATGGGCTGGTAGCATGATAGATCCAAAAAAAAAGTATCGCTTACAGTTGCTGGTTCTAGAAGGCAGCCAAAGATGTTGCACATGTCCCTGCAAAGATAATTAAAACATGATGTGTAAACAAGGGGACTGTAACACCGTCCCCAAATGTATTTACTTTTACGTAAATGATGTAATAAACCTTATGGAATGATTCATGAATTTACGAAGTTGTAAATTTTTATTATTTCTTTCGCGTGAATAGTAAATTGCACGTGGGACCCACACCGGGAGCGGGGGCCGCCCGATACTCCCGAGACCACATATTTTATTCATCTTGGTCAAGATAATGTTTATATAGTGGTGGATATTTTATTTGGGTCGTGGAAAGGCGCAGAGTTGACCGATTGGGAAAAAGAGGCCTAATTACCGGTACCGACAATTTAACAGATAACAGCCCGGGAATGAATTTCGGAGGCTTATAAATTAAAGTTGGGGAATGTATATTCATTATACATGTCATAATGAGTAAGAGAACATAATAAATTTTATTTGACCCGATAAAATAAAATATATTTAAAACAGTCCGAAAAATACAACTTTCGGGACAAATTGTACAATCCGGGACAAAAAGGGTTGACCTCCCACATGAGTGGGGGCCAACCCACGATTTTTGCCACTCAAATTGAGGGCTTGGTCGGCTGTTTGAAGAGGAGAACATGGGAGGGAGAGGTTGATGTGATCAATTAAGCATCAAACAAAAAAATGAGGTGGCCCCCATCCACACTCATTTGTTCAATGAGACAAAGGGGTAAGCCTCACCCCTCTCTCTCCCCCCATTTTCGGCCAAGCTGCAGCAAGAAGAGAAAGAAAACTCTTCTTCTTCCTTTCACCATTGTTGAAGAGAGCACATCAAGGAAGAATCACCCAAAGAGGAGCTAAAGTGCTAAAAGTGTGAAATAATTAAGGTAATGACCTTATTATAACCTCCTCTCTATTTTTCTTCTACCATATGAGATATATATCATGTGAAGAATCCTTAAGAGGGTTCTACATGTTATAAGTATGGATTAATGGGTTGGAAAGTGATTCTATGTCCGAGAACGGACTTAGAAGCCAAAACGACCGGTTCACCGGAAAATAACCTTTTATAGGTTATTTGTATTGATTAAGGTTTTATGATGTTAAAACCTTGTTAGGCACTTGTAAAGGGTATTTCAAGTGATTTCACAAAGTTGGAAAAGTCGCCGGAATTGTCGCCGGAGTTGACCAAAAGTCGCCGGAGTTTCACCGGAGTTCAACCAAGAAGGGTAGAACTTCATAACGCTAGTTCAAGGTGAGTGGACGGCTTAATATCTTATAACTTTTGGGTTAATTATGAGATTACCTAAATAAATGTTATATGAGTTCATAATGATGTTTAAAAGATATTTAAACATGTGATTAGCCAATAGGGTTAAGATTGTATGAAAGAAATATATTGTTTGTGCATGGAATATGATATGAAGAATTATATAAAATACATATTTGTTTGAAATGTATAAAATGCACAAATGAATATTTTTAACTTAATTACATGATGATTAAGTTGATAAGTGTAAGACTTGAAATGGCGGTCAACGACAACGTTGACCGATGGATAAAGGATTAATTAATATCGGTTGATATTAGTTAATTATGTATTTATATAATTGCATGGCTTTGCATGGATTGTGATACATAAGCTTTATGTATTGAATTAGTTATGAGTAACTAAGTATGATATAGACTCTATCTAGGTTGATAGAAGGTTGATCATAGGCAAATATTTTGGTGGAGGACCCTAGTACTTAAAAGTACTTAACACTCAAAATTTGGTGGAGGACCCTAGGACTTAAAGTCCTTAACACTCGGATTATAAATTGGTGGAGGACCCTAGTACTTAAAAGTACTTAACACTCAAAATTTGGTGGAGGACCCTAGGACTTAAAGTCCTTAACACTCGGATTATAAATTGGTGGAGGACCCTAGTACTTAAAAGTACTTAACACTCAAACTTGGTGGAGGACCCTAGTACTTAAAAGTACTTAACACTCAAAATTTGGTGGAGGACCCTAGGACTTAAAGTCCTTAACACTCGGATTATAAATTGGTGGAGGACCCTAGTACTTAAAAGTACTTAACACTCAAACTTGGTGGAGGACCCTAGTACTTAAAGGTACTTAACACTCAAAACTTGGTGGAGGACCCTAGGACTTATGAGTCCTTAACACTCGCAAACCGGTGGAGTACCCAAGGATTATGATCCTCAAAACTCATAGATTATGATATTGAAATAGGGACAAAGAGGAGTCCTATACACTCATTGGTATATGGGTGGGTTGGGGTTTTTAGTCAAGAATATTGACTATTACTATTCTTCCCAAATAAAATGGTGATCTACGGATCAGATATTTTCCAAGTATATATTTATACTAATAAGTATTTCATAACTTGGGGGAAAGACTATCTATTTAAGTATCACCCTATGTTTGGGTCTTATACTTGAAACGCTAGTTATTCTATATTTAGCCTGCTACTCGCTCGGTACTTGTACTGACCCCTTCGGGGGGGCCCCACCATTTTCAGGTTGAAGCTAGGGCTTGCTACTTGCACCTTCTCACGGGTGGTATCAAATCAGGAAGACGTGGTTCGTGCTTCCTTATTTTCTTTCAAACTACCGAACACTTGCTCATGGATATTTGTTCTACTATAAACTATTTTTGGGGCTTGCATGCCCATGTTGTTGGCCGGTTGTGGCCTATGACTTACCGTTGAATATTTTCCGCTATTCATTGGTTTAAATGTGATGTTGTTATGTATGTTTACTACTGAGTATGGATGGATTGTTTTCTCGAACGCCTTGTGTAATTGAGTGAGGTTGACTCGTGGGTGACGTCACTTAGTTATACGGCGGTTGTACACGCGCTTGGATTGCGGTCTGGGGCGTGACAATTAAGTGGTATCAGAGCCATCTCAGTTCTAAACTATATAATCAACCTCTCACAAAAGATTTTACAAAAGAGTTTTTGCCGAAAACCATGAGCATTGTATTTTGACGTTTATAGGACTATTGGTGCTTAAGTTGCAAGGCCTCTAATTGTTAAGACGGTACCCTTAACAATTGGTATGGTAGTGACTTGGGCCAATACGTGTCTGTAACGTTTTTCCGTCAATTGACATTTATAGGAGTCTAATGACTCATCCATATTTCTTTCAGAAATGGAGGGCAGGCGAATGCGAACCAGGAACAATCCGAGGGGGCAGACGCCGGTAGCATCCCAAAGGGGGAGCCGGGCTGCATCTCGGGGTTCAAGAGGAGGCCGTGGAGGCCGTGGAAGCCGTGGAGGTCACCAAGCTCAAACTGTGAGTGAGGGCCATGTAAGCTCGGTGTATGAAACCAACACCGAAGACTACGACTCTACATATGTTCCGGAAACGGAGCACGAGGAGACCCCATATGATGGGGGTGACACATACACCGATGATGATGATGAAGAGAGTGATGCCAAGTTCGCCCAAATGGGCGAATTGCTTGAGTGGTATCAAAAAGAAAAGCTGAGGAGAGACCTTAGGCGCCAAGCAAGGCGTGGCTCTCGCGGTGGTTCGGGTCAAGGAAGCCGGGGAGCTTCAAGAGCCACTCCCGTGGCGCCACACGATGGGCGTGAAGGAGGTTTTTGTGTGAGAATCTCCAAGTACCTCAAGGAGGCTAGGGCCTTGGGGTGTAAGTCCTTTGACGGCACCGGTGACATTACCGTTGCCGCCGATTGGATAAAGAAGGTGAAGGATGCGGCAAAGGACATGCAAATTTCACCGGACGTGAAGTTGACTGTTGCTTCACGGCTGCTTGAGGGGATAGCTTCCACGTGGTGGGAGAGTGTGGAAGGAAAATACCATGGGGAGGTCTCATGGTTGAACTTTGAGCAGGAGTTTTATGACCAATACTACACTGACTATGAGAAAAATGTCAAGCGTAGGGAGTACACCAACCTCAAACAGAAGGAGGGTGTGTCTGTTAAACAACTGGAGCAAGATTTTAGAACCTTGGCTAGGTTCTTACCGGAGTACGCGATCAATGAGGACCGCATGTCGGAGCACTTTTGGGATGCCTTACTCTTGGACATCCGTGATCGGGCTACGTACTCACGCCACATGACCTTTAGCGAGGTGGTGGAGCAGGGCCTTCTTGGGGAGGCTCAATGGAATGAGAGAAAAGAAAGAGACGCCGAGGAGGCGAAAAAGAGAAAATGGCATAATTCGGGGCCGCCCGAGCAAGCACGGAAGAATCACCACGGTGGGGGTGGGGGTACGTTCAAGGCGCCGGCACCACCGGCGAAGAAGAACAAGGATGCTCGGTGGCACGCATCCTCCTCTCAAAATACGGGGCCTCCTAAGTGTGCCAACTGTTCAAAGAACCACTTCGGGAAGTGCAACGCACCCCCGAGGTGTTATCGGTGTGGGAACACGGGCCACATGAAGGCCAATTGCCCACAATTGGGGGGAGGAGGAGCTCCGGGATCCGGAGGAGGAACCATGACGGGAAGAAACCGTGCGGGCCCGTCAAACGGCGGTACGGGGAGAGGCAACGCATCCACAAGCCATGCCGCGTCCGTAAACCAAGGCGGGACCCAAGCACGAGTCTACGCGATGACCGAGGCGGATGCGAGAGCAAACCCGGACTCCGTTGCAGGTAATACGCGTATTCCCATGTATTTCTAGGCTTACTTTGATCATATACGTCGTTGGGATTGAGTGCGGGCCACCCCGGGGTCGAACCGGGTGAGTTAGGCCGAATCGGGCTGGAAACAGCCACTGCCGGCCAGGCACGCCCTCAGGCACGCCGTGCCTGGAATCGTGCCTGGGAGGCAGTGGCACCCGAAGAGAACAAAGGGAAAAAAAAAATTTGGGCCAGGCACGGCCGCAGGCACGCCGTGCCTGGCGTCGTGCCTGGGAGGCAGTGGCGTCCGAAGAAGTTTTGGCCAGGCACGGCCACAGGCACGCCGTGCCTGGCATCGTGCCTGGCCGGCAGTGGACAGCAGGGTGAGTTTGTTGCACGCACGGCCGTTCCTGCCACCCAGGCACGCCGTGCGTGGACCCCCAACACCCGAAAGTTGATTTTTTCGCCCCGTTCTCCTACGTTTGGACTCCCGTTTGATTCCAAATATTTGTATGAACCTAATAACATCCTAATGATGTGTAAAAACATTAGAAAATGTATCTTACATGGTGTATAAATGTAGGAACATTAAAGATCAATGGTAGGTGTGCGAGGATCCTCATCGATACCGGGGCACAACGCTCATTTGTGAGTGAGGCGTTCGCCGAGGGCCTTGACGTGCCATTGACACCTATGACTCAAACATTGCTAGTCTCCACACCGTTAGGAGACGATGTGGAGAGAAATCATTACTATCCATCATGTGAGGTGGAAGTGACGGGTCAACCCTTGACTTGTGATTTCGTACCTCTAAGCATGTTGGAGTTCGATGCAATCCTAGGAATGGATTGGCTTGAGAAGCACCATGCTCGAGTAGATTGCTACACCAAGGTGTTGGAGCTCGAGGATGATCAGGGAAACACGCTGTGTTTCGAAGGAGATCGGGGGAAATCAAATGCTTGCATCATATCCGTGATGAGAGCACGGAAGATGATGAGAAAGGGGTGCCACGCGTACCTTGCTTACGTGGTGGACGATACGAAGAAAGAAGTTGACATCAAGGATGTACGAGTTGTGTGCAAGTACCCGGATGTCTTTCCCAAAGACCTACCAGGGCTTCCACCCGATAGAGAGATTGAATTCGTAATTGAAGTGGAGCCGGGAACCAAACCCATTTCGATTCCTCCTTATCGAATGGCACCGGCCGAACTTCAAGAGTTGAAGGTCCAACTACAAGAATTATTGGACAACGGATTCATCAGACCCAGTCATTCACCGTGGGGGGCACCCGTACTCTTCGTGAAGAAGAAGGATGGTACACTAAGAATGTGTATTGACTACCGACAGTTGAACAAGGTCACAATCAAGAACAGGTATCCCTTACCGAGGATTGATGACTTGTTTGATCAACTTCGGGGGGCAATAGTGTTCTCGAAGATTGATTTGAGGTCGGGGTATCATCAGTTGAAGATCAAGGAGAGCGACATACCTAAGAGTGCATTCCGCACTAGGTATGGTCATTACGAGTTCCTTGTGATGTCATTTGGTTTAACCAACGCACCGACGGCATTCATGGACTTGATGAACCGGGTGTTTAGTGAATACTTAGATCAATTTGTGATAGTATTCATTGATGATATCTTGATATACTCCAAGAGCAAGGAAGAGCACGAACACCATTTGGGGCTTGTACTTGATCGGCTAAGAGAAAAGCAACTCTTCGCCAAGTTCTCCAAATGCGAATTTTGGCTCAAAGAGATTGGTTTCCTCGGTCATGTCATATCCGGTTCGGGTGTAGCTGTGGATAACGCCAAGATAAAAGCTATCATGGATTGGGAGAGGCCCAAGAATGTGAAAGAGATACGTAGTTTCCTTGGCTTAGCGGGATACTATCGTAAATTTGTTGAAAAATTCTCCGTATTGGCGTCTCCATTAACGAAGCTCACAAAGAAAGGGGCCAAGTTCATTTGGGACGACAAGTGTGAGAAAGGGTTCCTTGACTTGAAGAAACGACTTACCGAAGCACCAGTCCTCTCCCTACCCATACAGGGGATAGGGTATGATATTTACAACGATGCTAGCATCCAAGGGCTTGGATGTGTACTGATGCAAAACGGTAAGGTGATTGCCTATGCTTCTAGGCAATTGAGGAAACACGAGGCTAACTACCCTACCCATGATCTAGAATTGGGGGCGGTAGTGTTTGCACTAAAAATTTGGAGGCATTATCTCTACGGGGAGACATGTCACATTTTTACCGATCATAAGAGCTTGAAGTATGTATTCACTCAAAAAGAGTTGAATATGAGACAAAGGAGATGGATGGAGTTGATCAAGGACTATGACTTGATCATCGACTATCATCCCGGAAAGGCCAACGTAGTGGCCGACGCACTGAGCAGGAAGAGTACGGCGGGGACGTTACTTACTTGTCTGCAGGCATTGAGGGCACGCGTGGAGGTGTCCACGTGCGGGGCTCTCATTGCTCAATTTGAGGTTAGGCCCACCCTATTGGGTGAGATTAGTCGAAGTCAGGCCATTGATGAAGAATGTCAGAAAATCCGTGAAAGAATCCTTGAAGGACCCGTTGAGAACTTCCGAATACGTGATGACGGTCTATTATTGTTTAAGGATCGTGTATGCATACCAAAGAATGAGGAACTCCAGAAGTCTATACTTGAGGAGGCTCACTCTTCAGCTTATGCTATGCATCCAGGAGGTACTAAGATGTACCGAGATTTGAAGGAAAGCTACTGGTGGTCAGGTATGAAGAGAGACATCGCAGAGTATGTGAGTCGATGCCTTACTTGTCAGCAAGTTAAGGCAGAACATCAGCACCCGGCAGGGCTTTTGCAACCACTCACCATTCCAGAGTGGAAGTGGGAGCACGTGACCATGGACTTCGTGGTGGGGCTACCACGAACAGTGAACAACTATGATGCAGTTTGGGTAGTGGTTGATAGGCTCACCAAGAGTGCACACTTTTTGCCTATCAACATTACTTATCCTCTTGAAAGATTGGCCAAGCTCTACACGGAGGAGATTGTGAGATTACACGGAGTCCCGATATCCATTGTCTCGGATAGGGATCCACGATTCACATCCCGATTTTGGCCAAAGTTTCAAGCATCGTTGGGTACTAAACTGAAGTTTAGCACAGCTTTTCACCCACAGACGGATGGACAGTCCGAGCGGGTGATACAGATTTTGGAAGACATGCTTAGGGCATGTGCTCTGGAGTTCCAAGGAAGTTGGGACAAGCATTTGGCTCTAGTGGAGTTTGCTTATAACAACAGTTATCAAGCAAGTATCGGCATGCCTCCATATGAGGCATTGTATGGGAGGAAGTGCAGAACACCATTGTGTTGGGACGAGGTTGGCGAGGCCAAACTCGAAGGAGTAGAACTAGTCGAGATCACCAAGGCCAAGGTGAGGGTCATTCGAGATAGATTGAAGGCTGCTCAGGACCGACAGAAGAGTTATGCTGATAAACGGCGGAGACCGTTGGAGTTCGAAGTCGGTGATGAGGTCTTCCTAAGGATTTCTCCTTGGAAGGGCATCATTCGATTTGTATCAAGGGGAAAGCTTAACCCCCGATACATCGGTCCATTTGAAATCCTTGAAAGGATAGGGGCCGTAGCCTACCGACTCAAGTTGACGCCTGAACTTGAGAAGATACATGATGTGTTTCATGTATCAATGCTCAAGAAGTACATACGAGACCCATCTCATATTCTTGAGAAACCACCGGTGGAGATCCGAGAGGACTTGCAATATGCGGTGGAACCAGTGAGGATTGTTGGTCAACAAGTGAAGAAACTTAGGAACAAGGAGATTCCTATGGTGAAGGTTCTTTGGAGGAGTGATCGAGTCGAAGAGGAAACTTGGGAGACCGAGGTCTCAATGAGGGAGCAATACCCATTCCTTTTCGATTAGACACGTGGATTTCGGGGACGAAATCCCAAATAAGGGGGGGTGAACTTGTAACACCGTCCCCAAATGTATTTACTTTTACGTAAATGATGTAATAAACCTTATGGAATGATTCATGAATTTACGAAGTTGTAAATTTTTATTATTTCTTTCGCGTGAATAGTAAATTGCACGTGGGACCCACACCGGGAGCGGGGGCCGCCCGATACTCCCGAGACCACATATTTTATTCATCTTGGTCAAGATAATGTTTATATAGTGGTGGATATTTTATTTGGGTCGTGGAAAGGCGCAGAGTTGACCGATTGGGAAAAAGAGGCCTAATTACCGGTACCGACAATTTAACAGATAACAGCCCGGGAATGAATTTCGGAGGCTTATAAATTAAAGTTGGGGAATGTATATTCATTATACATGTCATAATGAGTAAGAGAACATAATAAATTTTATTTGACCCGATAAAATAAAATATATTTAAAACAGTCCGAAAAATACAACTTTCGGGACAAATTGTACAATCCGGGACAAAAAGGGTTGACCTCCCACATGAGTGGGGGCCAACCCACGATTTTTGCCACTCAAATTGAGGGCTTGGTCGGCTGTTTGAAGAGGAGAACATGGGAGGGAGAGGTTGATGTGATCAATTAAGCATCAAACAAAAAAATGAGGTGGCCCCCATCCACACTCATTTGTTCAATGAGACAAAGGGGTAAGCCTCACCCCTCTCTCTCCCCCCATTTTCGGCCAAGCTGCAGCAAGAAGAGAAAGAAAACTCTTCTTCTTCCTTCCACCATTGTTGAAGAGAGCACATCAAGGAAGAATCACCCAAAGAGGAGCTAAAGTGCTAAAAGTGTGAAATAATTAAGGTAATGACCTTATTATAACCTCCTCTCTATTTTTCTTCTACCATATGAGATATATATCATGTGAAGAATCCTTAAGAGGGTTCTACATGTTATAAGTATGGATTAATGGGTTGGAAAGTGATTCTATGTCCGAGAACGGACTTAGAAGCCAAAACGACCGGTTCACCGGAAAATAACCTTTTATAGGTTATTTGTATTGATTAAGGTTTTATGATGTTAAAACCTTGTTAGGCACTTGTAAAGGGTATTTCAAGTGATTTCACAAAGTTGGAAAAGTCGCCGGAATTGTCGCCGGAGTTGACCAAAAGTCGCCGGAGTTTCACCGGAGTTCAACCAAGAAGGGTAGAACTTCATAACGCTAGTTCAAGGTGAGTGGACGGCTTAATATCTTATAACTTTTGGGTTAATTATGAGATTACCTAAATAAATGTTATATGAGTTCATAATGATGTTTAAAAGATATTTAAACATGTGATTAGCCAATAGGGTTAAGATTGTATGAAAGAAATATATTGTTTGTGCATGGAATATGATATGAAGAATTATATAAAATACATATTTGTTTGAAATGTATAAGATGCACAAATGAATATTTTTAACTTAATTACATGATGATTAAGTTGATAAGTGTAAGACTTGAAATGGCGGTCAACGACAACGTTGACCGATGGATAAAGGATTAATTAATATCGGTTGATATTAGTTAATTATGTATTTATATAATTGCATGGCTTTGCATGGATTGTGATACATAAGCTTTATGTATTGAATTAGTTATGAGTAACTAAGTATGATATAGACTCTATCTAGGTTGATAGAAGGTTGATCATAGGCAAATATTTTGGTGGAGGACCCTAGTACTTAAAAGTACTTAACACTCAAAATTTGGTGGAGGACCCTAGGACTTAAAGTCCTTAACACTCGGATTATAAATTGGTGGAGGACCCTAGTACTTAAAAGTACTTAACACTCAAAATTTGGTGGAGGACCCTAGGACTTAAAGTCCTTAACACTCGGATTATAAATTGGTGGAGGACCCTAGTACTTAAAAGTACTTAACACTCAAACTTGGTGGAGGACCCTAGTACTTAAAAGTACTTAACACTCAAAATTTGGTGGAGGACCCTAGGACTTAAAGTCCTTAACACTCGGATTATAAATTGGTGGAGGACCCTAGTACTTAAAAGTACTTAACACTCAAACTTGGTGGAGGACCCTAGTACTTAAAGGTACTTAACACTCAAAACTTGGTGGAGGACCCTAGGACTTATGAGTCCTTAACACTCGCAAACCGGTGGAGTACCCAAGGATTATGATCCTCAAAACTCATAGATTATGATATTGAAATAGGGACAAAGAGGAGTCCTATACACTCATTGGTATATGGGTGGGTTGGGGTTTTTAGTCAAGAATATTGACTATTACTATTCTTCCCAAATAAAATGGTGATCTACAGATCGGATATTTTCCAAGTATATATTTATACTAATAAGTATTTCATAACTTGGGGGAAAGACTATCTATTTAAGTATCACCCTATGTTTGGGTCTTATACTTGAAACGCTAGTTATTCTATATTTAGCCTGCTACTCGCTCGGTACTTGTACTGACCCCTTCGGGGGGCCCCACCATTTTCAGGTTGAAGCTAGGGCTTGCTACTTGCACCTTCTCACGGGTGGTATCAAATCAGGAAGACGTGGTTCGTGCTTCCTTATTTTCTTTCAAACTACCGAACACTTGCTCATGGATATTTGTTCTACTATAAACTATTTTTGGGGCTTGCATGCCCATGTTGTTGGCCGGTTGTGGCCTATGACTTACCGTTGAATATTTTCCGCTATTCATTGGTTTAAATGTGATGTTGTTATGTATGTTTACTACTGAGTATGGATGGATTGTTTTCTCGAACGCCTTGTGTAATTGAGTGAGGTTGACTCGTGGGTGACGTCACTTAGTTATACGGCGGTTGTACACGCGCTTGGATTGCGGTCTGGGGCGTGACAGGGACTGTTCTGAACAGTAGCATGTACTACTACTCAGGCTTATTGTTATACTTCGACTAGATTATAATTTGTTGTTATAAGGATATTGCATAAAAAAGGACATTGCATGCAATTTCTTACAACTAAATTAAACCTTAATGATGGAAATGAATGAGAGTAACAACGAATAGATCCATTGAAATGATCCAATGAGCAGATCTCATTTTTATATTTTATTAGTGTTGATGAGACCCGTTATTGAGTTAACATGGAATTAGACCCAAAGTTTAGAACAACAATAGAATCCAGTTATCCAACAAAAATGCAAAGGTAAATTAAAGCACTGCTTATTTGGATGCGACAAAAACTGGTGTCTTTAAAAGAGAACCAAAACTAAAAAATAGTTTTGAACAGAATTATATCAAGTACAATGAAAATATGTGATCACTCCAAAGGGTACCACATGAATTACATTAAGGAGCTATTATGTAACTAAATGTTCTCACAGTCCAGCAAAGCCACGAAACAATAGTTTTGAACAGAATTATACGAGTATCAAGTACAATGAAAATATGTGATCACTCCAAAGGGTAGCGCATGAATTACATTAAGGATGTAACTAAATGTTCTCACAGTCCAGCAAAGCCACAAAACAATTTCCCTTAACTTCCTGCATTCTAAGTGCTGTACCGAATACGAGAAACAGATTGTAGTTGCAACAGACGTAAGTATAAGATGCATTGAAAGACATTTTCACAGCATGTATCATGTCGGTTAAAACGAAGCATAACACGAAAAAAATGGGGGAATTACCCAATAATCCATGTCAGCAAGAACCAAAAGGAGAGGCCTTCTGTGGATTTATCCCTGAAGTTGGTAATGATCTGGGGAATCTCAGCCACCACCCAACTGAGCACACTCAAGGCCCCGAGAGCCAGCGAAACTCCATCCTTGCTGCTGCATAAGCAATACTCCATGTACCTGATCGCCCACTGTGAGCATTTATGCAATTGCTCTTCCATTCCCATCCCGCCGCACATCGCCATATCGCCGCTGCTTAAACCCTCCCGGCCAGAATCCTCCACCAGAAAGTCAGCAACTATACGGCTGTGCCTTCCTCCTCCGCGTACAGAACACAAATGCGGACTGCCCTGTTTATGATTCACAATAAACTTAAAAACGAGTACTGAAATCAATAAATCATCCCTACGAACTCGCAATCCGTATAAGTAGAATGTAAAATAGAGCTGCGATTAAACGTTCGTTTTTTAACAATAGACATGCGTATATATGATACAGTATGCGTATAGTCCGTCGGTATATGATGTATAGAAAGGAAACCGTAGATATGAATGGAGATTGAGATGCAGGGGCATGTGCATACAGAGACAAAAATGTTGTGATTGACAAGGAATGGTAGCGGCGGAAGATGATTGATTATGGACTTCTAAGGTGGCGCGGCTTTGGATGACAACAACAGTTCCAGCATCCAGGCATGCAGGGTTTATTTATACTTGAAATAGTGGATTAACTCCTGAATGGGATAAATAAAATACAAACTGGTTTATGTTTGCGCAAAGGAGATAAAATTAAGAGAAAGTTCCTGAAATTGGAACTAAAAAAGTTTGAAAATTCCAAAATACGACTGTCATGTTTTTATTCCCAAAATAGGACTAATTACTGCCAAATTTGGAAAATACTGCCATGTTTGAAGTCTGGTACTGCCAAATCATGACAGTAATTAGTCCTATTTTGGGAATAAAAACATGGAAGTCTTATTTTGGAATTTTCAAACTTTTTTAGTCCCATTTTGGATAATATCTCTAAAATTAACGGGAATCACAGATTATTTACTAAAATAAAAAGTGGCAAAATTAGTGGGACATCCGAAACGTAACAAAGTTTTAAGAGAGGAAGAGAGTATTTTGTATTTTCGATTTATCATTTAAGAGAGCATTATTAAGACGCTTTTACTTGGTTTGTTTTTAATCGCATATCACATCACACTTAAACATGTCAAACCGGATCAGACCAGCAAAATTCGGTTTAAGTAAAAACATCGTTAGTATGCAATACTTTTTACTATGTGTGTGATTTTTGTTTACTCGTATTCAATTGTGTAATACTAGTACTCAAAAAAGTGAGAGTGAAATCCCTTTTGGGCTGAATTGATTGAGATTATTGTACCAATCCATATATTCTTTGGTACTCTAAACTGTTTTTCTTTATTTTATTAATAAAACATATTTCAGATGTTTTTATAATTCACCCAATTCAACCCCTTCAATCGATTTGTTACTCCCTCCGTCCCAGAATTAACTTCGGTTTTGACTGGGCACGGGGATTAAGATAGTGGGAAATGTGTGGTGGAGAGTTGTGCAGAGGAGAGAGAAATGTGTAAGAATGGTTGTGAACCACAAATCCTTTGCCAAAAAGGGAAAGAGGAGATAAATTTGGGACGGACCGAAAAGGAAAGAATGAAGATAATTTCGGGACGGAGGGAGTATATTTTAAACATTCCATATATGAATATCCCTTGTGCAAAACTCAATATTTTAAACAAAATTATATGAATATCATTCCATGTATTCTTTGGTACTCTATATGTTCTTTCATAAATTTGAAGATGTTCAAACGATTCAATTAATTTTGGAGTTACCAAAGGAGCTCCTTACATACTCCCTTAGTAAAGGCGTTTTGACGTCAAAGTAAAAACATTCTAGACAAGACATTGACACGAAATTTGGTATTAATTTGACGTGTCTGTGTCGAATTCGTGCCAAATTCCCTATGAATTTTGCCAAAATCTTTGTCAAATTCATGCAAATTTCATTTCTTTTCTGTAATGGTTTAATCATTAATGACACATTTTCATCCGTTATTTATATCCATTGAGGGTGAGGGAGGGACGAACTTTCCATAAATTGATATAATAATAATTGGATTGCATGTGCCAATAAACAGTTTGCATTTGCGAGTATACGAAATTATTTAAATACGTTTATCACACTGTGTTTGTTTGATTCGTGTGGCAGGACACCCTTTAGAATATCCTCATTGATCTGAGGCCTGTTAGATACGTTTCTCATCTCAGTTTTATTAGTTAATAGACCCCCGAACTTACGTAAAAAGGTCAAATAAGCCCTTATATAGGATGTGATGTCCGGCCGTCGCCATTTGAGACGTTTCCAGATGGAATTTTTTATGAAATTTTTTTAGCATCTTATTCATTAAGTCTAGTTTACTCATACCAAAATTCGGCTAAAACTACAATTGGGAAGGCATTCAAATGAATTCTTGAAGATAAATGCGCAGTTAAAAGCGCATTTATCTTCAAGAATTCATTTTAATGCCTTCCCAATTGAATTGTTAGCTGAAATTTGGTATGAGTAAACTAGACTTAATGAATAAGATGCTCAAAAAATTTCATCAAAAAATTCCCCCGGGAACTGCCCCAAATGGTGACGGCCGAAAAAAACCTCCTATATAAAGACTTATTTGACCATTTTATGTAAGTTTGAGGGTCTATATGACCCCTTTCCTATTACGGAGTAGCAACTACCAACAGTATATACTATATACGCATTCATTCCTCACAAATTAGTAACGCAAGAACTTTGTTATAGATATATTCATATATCATATATTATCTTCCGTCTCTTTTTAATTGCAATATGTTGACTTTTTACACTGTTCACATGATATACTTTGACTACATTTTACACTATTATTTTGTGGAAATTATTTTTTTAAAAAAATATTTTTCAATTCATCTCATTACAAATTTTCAAAATCAAATTTTTAATATTTTTTATTAATAGAGATTAAGACATACTCACGGTCAAATGTGTGCGTTGGCAAATGTGCAAATGTTGACTGTTACAACAAAAAAAGAACGGAGGAAGATTTTGACAATGATTTGGGTATGTAGGCAGGGACGTAGACATGTCAAATGTGCAAATGTTGACTGTCAAGATAGCATAATGTTCTAGATTTGGGTATGTAGGCAGGGATGCAGGGGCGACCCGAGCCTAGCGGCACAGGACCCTCGAAAATGGCAGGCTCAATTTCTTAGTATGGAGCCCATATGCCTAATAGGTCACTTATTCATTTTTTTTTGCAACGAAAAGAAACTTATATTAAAGTATCAAACGAATCAAGAGTTACAACTAGTCAATTCTTCAAAATCTCCGACCTATCTTTTAACAAACTCCATCTAAACTCAAGAACAACGTCATACGATCAGACTCTTAAACGACCACTTTCAAAAAAGCAACGTTAATCGTTGACCACCAAACGGACAACATAGAGTTCTTTCTGAATTTTATGGTCACCGTACTCTTTATCACTTTACTAGACTCATAATATAATAAAAAATCCCCCTTAGTTCCCAATCAGGCATAGAAAACGTTCACCCAAAATTGAGCAAAACTTTTTCCTGAACATACAGGGAATTCGAAGCAATTAATGGCCGCAGAGATCTCAATATTTCTGATCATAGCTAAACTAGATAACTCAAGACTCCCTCTAACGCAAACAGTATGAATATAAAGTAAAAAGACTATCGAAAAAAATAAAACATGAAATAAAACTAAAGCAAAGCAAAACCACTTGTTCTCTCCATGGCGGCGACTCAGGAGGAGACCGGATCATCAACACTTAATTTTCTTCCTCCAATATAAAAAGATCAATGGCGTATACCTGGAGTATACCTGTTTGAAAAAAAGAGATCGAAAGGTGACTGGAAAATATAAATTACAATAAAGGGCATATATTCATTCGGAGTATGGATAATTTATAATTGAACTTAATAAATTATTACATTCATATATTATTAAGCCCCCTTCATCCAAAAAAAAGCTATTACTTCTTAATTTTATAAATCAGTTTAACCAACTGATATTATTAGGTAATTATTAATTTTATTTAGGTATGGATAATTTATAATTGAACTTAATAAATTATTACATTCATATTATTAAGCTATTACTTCTTAATTTTATAAATCAGTTTAACCAATTGATATTATTAGGTAATTATATTGTTAATTTTTTGTTTAAGATTTTTTTTTGGACATTCTTCTAAACCTAGTATAGTATCTGCTCTAGTTAATGTCAATATCCTTGATTGGGATGAGACTCGAACCTGCGACATCCTCTTTGAGATATCAACAATTATGCCATCAGACCACAAGATACTTGTTGAAAAAAGCTTCATTTTTTATTGTTGTACATGACTCTTGTTTTCTTAGGACTTAACTAACCTCTAGGGAGTACAACTCAGTCTTCTCACATGAGTCACATCCCTCTTTCAAATGTATATGGAATTAGTCGCAAAATTTCAAATCCATGTATTCTAAAAGTTTAGGTGTGTTTAATATGCAACTTTTAAAAGTCTAAAAAAATCTAATTGTATTAAATATGAAATTTTAAAAATTCAAAAAAGTCTAGGCATATTCAAACTTATAATAATTTCATTTGATGCAATAATTTTGACCGGTCATTTGTAAAAATGATTTTTTTCAAAAGATCTTGAACTTAAGGCGCAATGTCCTATCAATTAAAGACATCTAATATTATATATTTTGTTTTCTTTGATTTTCTGTTTATTTCATTGTTATCTTTTGTTGATTTTAGATTATTAGTTTAATAGAATTAAATAATATTATATAAATTTAAAATAAAAAATATAAAGTTTATCATACTTAATATTTTCATCATTGAATTTCAATTACACCTTATGATTTCAAATTGTCATTCTGGATCCAGATACAATAATTCCAATAATGGCATCATATGATATGATTGTAAACAAAACTCTAGGGCATTCGGTCTTCATGTCGGTTTGTTATGGAAACCCCCCATTTTTAGTCATACACAATTTTATTTTGTGGCATCATGAGTAACAATAATAATAAGTTTAGTTTTTTTTATTACAAATAAGGGATAAAGTGCATATATAGCCCTAAGCTTCTAAAAGGTGTAAAAATACTCCTCATATTTTTATAAAGGAAAAAAATATTATTCTTATTAACTTAAATAAATTAAACAAGTTTTAAAGAAAACACCATTTATAATGAAAAATCCATTATGGTTGACAAGTTTGATTGTTCTCAACATCCATCCGATTTTGGATTGAAAACCTTAAACCCTAACCACTTTAAGCTAGCGAGTTAATTATTAAAATAGGACTAAAACACTCATAAAATGCACAAATATGACTGTCTTTTTTATCTTCCTAAAATAAGACTCATGGACTCTTAATTGATACAATTTTATTCTTTTAATAGGATGAAGTAAGTCTTGTTTAGAGATTAGAAACATAAAATCTTATGTATGCACTTTGACTAACTTTTAGTCTATTAATTTATTTTGAACAATTACTTATTGGAATGTTATCAATTCAGGACCCGAAAGATAGATGAATTATCAATTCAGGACCTAAAAGATGAGATGTATCGGTATATGACCAGAATGATGGAAAACTATCAATCTAAGACCTCACG